TCCTTGACAGTTGACATTTGGAGAACCTGTTAGGGATAACGCAACTTCAATGGAATCGAACTCCCTAAATTAATCCCTTTCACAGCTACGACTTTTAACCACACTGAACATCTAAGGAACAGCCTCTTCAGTTTGCAAAATGTTGGAGCCGGGGTGGAGGGAAACCAAAGAAAGAATTTCCTGGTCAAGGGTGCGGGGAAGGTAAAGTAAGGCCCAGCCTACCAGGCAATGAGAGAGCTGGGGCACCAGTGGGCTTTTGGATTTCTCTCTGTCCCCAGCCCCCACTTTCACCCCAGCACCACACGCTCACAAATGCTTGGCTTGGCGCAGTACAGATGACCCAAAAGGGCAAGGAACCACCTTGAAGGAAGACACAGGCGTGACAACAGAAAAATACACCAACGACAGTTGAGGCGCAAAGCCCGGCGGTTGCCCTTCATCTGTCTCGAGGCGCGCACGCTCCCACGCACGGCTCTCCTGCGTCAGCACGCAAGCTCCACCCCCCCTTTCCCCAACAGGCGCAGGCACGTGGAGATCTCCCGGCTGGAGAGTTGTGTGCGTTGCGGCGGTCCAGATCAGGGAAATGATGCGAAGAATCCTAGACTGACCCAAAGAGTGTGCAAGACGGGGATGCATTATTTGCAGGATTTTTTTAACTTCTCGGGCGCGGTGGCTCACACCTGTAATCCCAGCACTTTGGGAGGCCAAGGCGGGCAGATCACGAGGTCAGGAGTTCAAGACCAGCCTGACCAATATGGTGAAACCCCGTCTGTACTACAAATACAAAAATTAGGGTGTGGTGGTGCGCGCCTGTAGTCCCAGATGCTCTAGAGGCTGAGGCAGGAGAATCCCTCGAATCTGGGAAGCAGAGGTTGCAGTGAGGAGAGATGGTGCCCCTGCACTCCAGCCTGGGGGACAGAGTGAGACTCTGTCTCAAAAAAAAAAAAATTATTAACTTCTCAGGACTGAGTGCTGAAATAAACTCAGAATTTCTCTTAAGAGATCAGAGGGTAATAACTGAAACGCCATGATGCTAAGGATGCATTCAATTTACAGCAAGAAATTATTAATATTTATAACTCAGAGAAGGGGACACAACCTACTCCATCTTTGTCGAGTATTTGCATTTGAACCTTTTCCAAAATTCAAAATATAATTAATTTTTCATATAATAGCCTATAGTGTTGCTGCTGTTGTTGTTTGAGAGGGAGTCTCAGCTCTGTCGCCCAGGCTGATTGTGCAGTGGCGCGATCTCGGCTCGCTGCAACCTCTGCCTCTCGAGTTCAAGCCATTCTCCAGCCTCAGCCTCCCAAGTAGCTGGGGCTACAGGCGTATGCCACTGCACCTGGCTACTTTTATTTTTCTGTATTTTTAATAGAGATGGGGTTTCACCATGCTGGCCAGGCTGGTCTCGAACTCCTGACTTCAAGGGATCCACCCACCTCAGCCTCCCAAAGTGCTGGCTTTACATGCATGAATTAGTATTTGTTTTTAATATGGTTAAACAAATACGTGCCTGGCCAGTATTTGTTTTTAATATGGTTCAGATTATGTAATAACCCTGCTTTAAACCTTTCAGTGGCTTTCCATTGCACGTAGAGTAACCAGTTACCACAAGCTAGATATTCAAGATTTGGCTTCCCACACCATCTCTGGTATCATCTCAGGACACCCAATACACTCCCCTCCAAGTAGGCTTTGGGCAGTTCTTTTTGGATCAGGACTTTTTGCTGTTCTTTAAACTTAGAAAGCTCTTTCCCTAGCCTTCTCAAGGTTAATTTCTCATTTTCAGCTTTGCACATACATGCTCTGGCTTTCCTTGACAAATGTCAACTACCATCATTTCCAGTATATCTCTCTCTTATGGCACTTTTCTCAACCAACAAGTAGCCTGAAGCTAGAGGCCCCCTATATCAGACAGAAACAGCAACCACTTGGTCGTATACCTCCACAGCAACCTTATTTATCCCTGGGCTGAGAATGAGACTGCTGGCCCGAATGGACTGGAAATTTAAGCTCTACACCTGCCTCAGGCCCCTGGCGGCCAAGGAAGTTATCAGCTTGGTAGTGGCCAAACTAATGCTAGGTGACTATAACTGGCTCTTCATCCATGCCTGCCCAAATACTCCAAACTTACCATTTTGCTTACTTGACTGTAGAAACTTTAGGCGAACCAAAAATTCTCTTTATTTATTCTTTTTTTTTTGAGACGGAGTTTCGCTCGTTACCCAGGCTGGAGTGCTCACTGCAACCTCCGCCTCCTGGGTTCAAGCAATTCTCCTGCCTCAGCCTCCCTAATAGCTGGGACTACAGGCACACGCCACCATGTGCAGCTAATTTTTGTATTTTTAGTAGAGATGGGGTTTCACCATGTTGACCAGGATGGTCTCGATCTCTTGACCTCGTGATCCACCTGCCTCGGCCTCCTAAAGTGCTGAGATTACAGGTGTGAGCCACTGCGCCCGGCTTCTTTATTTATTTTTACACACTGCAACATTTACCAAAGTATACTAGGTACTCACGGAATAATTTTGAGGTCAGACATAGTGGCTCACACCTGCAAGCCAGCACTTTGGGAGGCCGAGGCACAAGGAGTGCTTCAGCCCAGGAGTTCAAGACCAGCCTGGGCAACATAGGGAAAACCCATCCCCAAAAGAATTAAAATAAAAAAATTTTAAAGAACATGGCTTTGAAGTATTGTTTTATTTTGGCAACATGGGCTTTAGTGGTATTTTTAAAAAATGGCAGTACCATGCTCTGATTAAATGAAAGTTTCAAGGGGGGAAAAACAAGAAGCATGTACTGAGCATCACATTTGCTTCTACACTAACTGGCAACTTCTGTGAGATGGGGATAAGGCCTGCTTAATCCAGTTTCCAAGGTTACTAAGACAAAAAGAATCAGGGCTCCTTGCAGAGCTGGCCTATTCCTTGCCTGAGGCAGAAAGCTGCAAGTGAACCTGGAACATTTATTTTGCCAGTAAGTAAGGAAGCTTTACAAGATTCCATTTGAAAACTCATGAAAGAATAATAGAAGCAGTCTATTTCACTTGTGTTATTTTTCAGTCATGTTGTATTAATTTATTGTATCAAATAATATGAAATTAATGTAAATTAAAAAAAATTTAGACTGAAGATGCCTCAAAGCTTACAAAAGGCTACAGGAGTAAGTACAGGCTTCTTTTTGGGCTAATTAAAATGTTCTTTTTTTCTTTTTTTTTGAGATAGGATCTCACTGTCATCCAGACTGGAGTACAGTGGCACAATCTCGGTTCACTGCAACCTCTGCCTCCTGGGCTCAAGGGATCCTCCCACTTCAGTCTCCTGTGCAGCTAGGACTACATACAGGTGCCCGCCACCATACCCAGGTAATTTTTTTTTGTAGAGACAGGGTTTTGCCATGTTGCTCAGGCTGGTATCAAATTCTTAGGCTTGAGCAATCCACCTGCCTTGGCCTCCTAAAGTGCTGGGATTACAAGTGTGATCCTCTGCACCCAGCCTGTATTCTAAGATTAGATATTGGTGATGGTTGCCAACTATGTGAATACACTAAAAATCCACAGAATTACACTTTATAGATGTGTCCAACCCTTTGAATGTGAGGACTCTTTTGCTTATCTGTGGTGGCAGATATCAGGAAGATTATGCATGAACTTTTTTTTAGCATATCAGCTATTGGTAGTGTTATTTAATTTTTATTGAGACAGTCTTGCTCTGTTGCCCAGGCTCAAGTGCAGCGGCACCATCTGGGTTCACTGCAATCTCTTGTGGGTTTATCACCAGTTCATCCCCTGATCATCACCTCAGCCTCTTGCGCCTCAGCTTCCCAAGTAGCTGGGATTACAAGCACAGGCCACCACACCCAGCTAATCGTTCTATTTTTAGCAGATATGGAGTTTCACCTGTTGGCCATACTGGTCTTGAACTCCCACCTCGGCCTCTCCAGGTGCTGGGGTTACAAGTGTCAACCACTGTGCCTGCTGGGTGTGTTTGGTGTGGCCCAAGCAAAGCAAAAGGTTGGAAAACCATGCTTTGAGATAATTCCTTTTCTTAACTGGCTCTCAGGAAAGAATCTTTGCAAAAAGACCCTGGAGTGGGGAATAATGACAATAATGTTGTCCAGTTAATCTTTACAAGTATGGTTTTCAGGCCTGGATAAGGGTCCCAGTTGTATTTTTAGAAAAATGGAAAGAAAACTTGAGACTGGGCACGGTGGCTCATGCCTATAATCCCAGCACTTTGGGAGGCCGAGGCAGGTGGATCACGAGGTCAAGAGATCGAGACCATCCTGGTCAACAAGGTGAAACCCCGTCTCTACTAGAAATACAAAAATTAGCTGGGCATGGTGGTACGCGCCTGTAGCCCCAGCTACTCAGGAGGCTGAGGCAGAATTGCTTGAACCCAGAAGGCGGAGGTTGCAGTGAGCAGAGATCATGCCATTGTACTCATCTGGGTAACAAGAGCGAAACTCCGTCTCAAAAAAAAAGAAAAAGAAAACTTAAGTAGACAACCACCAAGAATACTTGTTCTTTTTGTTTTGTTTTGTTTAAAAAAAATGGTATTTCACTGTTGACCGGGCTGGTCTCTAACTCCTGGCCTCAAGTGATCAGCCCACCTTGGCCTCCCAAAGTGCTGGGATTATAGGCATGAGCCAATGTACCCAACCTGAAAATTGTTTTTAATTGTTACTGTCTTCCAGAGGGCAAATAAAATCTGTGTTCACTGTAGTGACAAAGTACCATTGCCTATATTCAGTTGGCAAATTTTATATTCACATATAGAATGTTACTTTGCAATTATGATTAGCATTATCAAATATCTCATATAATACTTTGGGACTTAGTATATTAAAACTATCTATTTTAATGGAAGTGGTACCAAAATAATTCTATTGTTACTTCATCTGCTATTAATAATTAATATCACTTTTTAAAAAAATCATTGAAGGGTTGTCCAGTAGCCTAATAATATAATGAATAACTGGCAGACTTTACATCTTAATATAATGAATTAACAAAAGTAGTCACTGTTCAAGGTTTATTGGGGGTTTTAGTTGGTTTAACATTTGAATAGTTGGTTGCATTGTTTATATTACATTGTATGGTAACGTATACTACTGAAATATAGTTCACAAAATAAGATCCTTTGGAACAAGACATGCGATATTGGATCTATACATTGAATGCCAGGATGAGACCTACTGGGAAAAAATGTTGAACTAGGCATGTTCAGTGAAGGAGCCAGGAAGTTATATAACAAATGAACATCTCTGGCTCAAGGGGCAACTGCAACATGTGCAGCACTGGCAGTGGTGCCTCAGAGGTGGCAGAACTATTTCACACTGACTAGTTTAGGACTACCCAAGGTTACCACCATCCAGCATCAGAATATAGCTGTAGGACTTTACAAAGCATTCCTATTTTTAACTTCTGGAATTGATGTTTTTCCCAGTCCATCTTAAAATATTACTGCTTTAATCACAGATCAGATAAAAAAGGACAACATGCGCAATCTCCAACTAAAATCCTGTTGTAGCCTAGACAGTAAAATGGCATGACATCAGAAGACTTTAAAATTGCAGCTCTTTTTGGATCCCCCAAAGTGTATCCGCACTCTTCTTCAAACGGGCCTCTTCCTCAGGAGTCAGAGTCACCTTCACAACGTCTGAGATTCCATTCTGTCCCAAAATGCAAGGGACACTAAGGAAGACATCATCCTTTATTCCATAGAGACCCTGAAGATGAAATGAAAAATATTTTACGTTTTGCCTATGCATTCCAGGGTTTCCCAAGACTTACATTCTCTATAATTGTGAGGCTTTTTTTCTTTGAGGCAGTCTTGCTTTGTCTCCAGGCTGGAGTACAATGGCACGATCTCGGCTCATTGCTGCAACCTCTGCCTCCAAGGTTCAGGTGATTCCCCTGCTTCAGCCTCCTGGCTGTGCCACCTTGCCCAGCTAATTTTTGTACTTTTAGTAAAGACAGGATTTTAACACGTTGGCCAGGCTGGCTTTGAACTCCTGACCTGTCGTGATCCACCAAGCTTAGTCTCCCAAAGTGCTAAGATTACAGGCATGAGCCACAGAGCCGGACTGCCTTTTCTTTTTTGAAATGGAGTTTCACTCTTGCTGCCCATACTAGAGTGCAATGGTGCGAATTTGGCTCATTGTAACCTGTCTCCTGGGTTCAAGTGATTCTCCTACCTCAGCCTCCCAAGTAGCTGGGATTACAGGCATGCATCACCACACCCAGCTGTGTATTTTTAGTAGAGATAGGGTTTCAACATGTTGGTCAGGCTGGTCTTGAACTCCTGATCGTCAGGTGATCCACCCCTTGGCCTCCCAAAGTGCTGGGATTACAGGTGTAAGCCACCTCGCCTAGTATTTTTCTTTCTTTCTTTCTTTCTTTTTTTTTTTTTTTGAGACAGAGTTTTGTTCTCGTTACCCAGGCTGGAGTGCAATGATGCGATCTCGGCTCACCGCAACTTCCGCCTCCTGGGTTCAGGCAATTCTCCTGTCTCAGCCTCCTGAGTAGCTGGGATTACAGGCATGCGCCACAATGCCCAGCCAATTTTTTATATTTTTAGTAGAGACGGGGTTTCACCATGTTGACCAGGATGGTCTCCATCTCTTGACCTCGTGACTCACCTGCCTCAGCCTCCCAAAGTGGTGGGATTACAGGCTTGAGCCACTGCGCCCAGCCCTCTCTTTTTTTTAACCCGATGAAGTTTTTTGTTTTTTTTTTTAAATAAGAGACAAGGTCTCACTATACTGCCTAGGGTGGTCTCAAACACCTGGGCTCAAGCAATTCTCCTACCCTTCTTGGACTCCCAAAGTGCTGGCATTATAGCTATGAGCTACTGCCTGGCCTAATTATGAAGATTTTAAAATACAGCTCAGTAAGCAGAAATTCCTTTCCAGATGTTATGATGTAATAGTGTAAAAGAAAGTCATTAAAGGCCGGGCACGGTGGCTCATGCCTATAATCCCAGCACTTTGGGAGGCTGAGGCAGGTGGATCACGAGGTCAAGAGATTGAGACCATCCTGGTCAACAAGGTGAAACCCCGTCTGTACTAAAAATACAAAAATTAGCTGGGCATGGTGGTGTGTGCCTGTAGTCCCAGCTACTTGGGAGGCTGAGGTTGCAGTGAGCTGAGATCATGCCATTGCACTCCAGCCTGGGTAACAACAGCGAAACTCCATCTCAAAAAAAAAAAGGAAGTCATTAAAAATAGCAACATGGTGACCCTAACTTGAATATATAGTCTTCTACCTACCTCAGCATAATTGAGTGAGACTTTTTTGTAGTCAAATTACCAAGTTTCTATGTGTTGTGTGTTGAACAAGCCTAGTGGACATTAATCCTAAAGCTCAACCATTTCTTTCAAAAAAAAAAAAAAAGCTGTAGGTACATTAATTTATTTTACTTAAGCCAGTAATGGAAGACTTATATTAATCTTTCTCCTAAGAATTTTTTTTTTTTTTAAGAATCTTTTTTTAAAAAGCTAGGAAAAAGTATTCAAATACAGTGTATTGCTACACAGACCTACCTTAATCATGGTGGAAATTGGGTGCACCCGCCTAAGATTCTTCATTATAGTCTCTGCCAAATCTGCCACAGAAAGTCCAATGGCCCAGGATGTGTAGCCTTTGAGTTTGATCACCTCGTAAGCACTGTAGGGTAGGAAACCATAGGTAAGGGCAGAAAATGTAAGGTGGGAGAAAGAAAAACAAAGCTTTCATTAAACAAGTTTTACAATGATTAATGACACAATGTTACCTTATACCAAGAATAACCTTTCCATATATATAACAGCATATTATGACAGGGATATTCATTAACAGTACTGTTAGTAACAGCAAAAACATGGCAATCTTTCCAATGCCCTCTAACAGAAGAATGGATAAATCGTGGTATACTGATATAATGAAATATTACACAGCTATCAAAAAATAAACTACAGGCTGGGCGCACTGGCTTACGCCTGTAAACCCAGCACTTTGGGAGGGAGAGGCAGTCATATCACAAGGTCAGGAGATCAAGACCATCCTGGCTAACATGGTTAAACCCCTCTACTAAAGTCTCTACTAAAAATACATAAAATTAGACAGGTGTGGTGGCATGCACCTGTAGTCCCAGCTACTCTGGAGGCTGAAGCAGGAGAATCGCTTGAACCCAAGAGGCAGAGGCTGCAGTGAGTTGAGATTGTGTCATTGCATTCCAGCCTGGGTGACAGAGACTCTGTCTCAAAAAATAATAAAATTTTTAAAAAGGCCAAGCGCGGTGGCTCATGCCGGTAATCCCAGCACTTTGGGAGGCTGAGGCGAGCAGGTCACAAGGTCAGAAGTTCAAGACCAGCCTGACCAACATGGTGAAACCCTGTTTCTACTAAAAATACAAAAAATTAGCTGGGCATGGTGGTGTGCATCTGTAATCCCAGCTACTCAGGAGGCTGTGAGAGGACAATCACTTGAACTCAGGAGGCAGAGGTTGCAGTGAGCAGAGATCGTGCCACTGCACTCCAGCCTGGGCAACAGAGCAAGACTCCATCTCAAATAAATAAATAACAAACTACAGCTACTTGTAAAAGAAATTGGATAATTCTTAAAAATGGATTATGAATTTTAAAAAGAAATCCAAGATAACATATAGCATTCTTAACTCAGGATCATCTCAAGTGGGAGGGTGAGGGAGACAGAGGGATAGCTGGGGGAAGGGCACAAAATCCACTTATTTCCAAACACCAGCAGAATATAAATTCTGATTCAACAATGTTATGGGCCGGGCACAGTGGCTCACGCCTGTAATCCCAGCACTTTGGGAGGCTGAGGTGGGCAGACCATGAAGTCACAAGATTGATACCATCCTGGCCAACATGTTGAAACCCCATCTCTACTAAAAAATACAAAAATTAGCTAGGCGTGGTGGCGTGCGCCTGTAGTCCCAGCTACTCGGGTGGCGGAGGCAGGAGAATTGCTTGAACTCAAGAGGTGGAGATTGTAGTGAGCCGAGATTTCGCCACTGCACTCCAGCCTGGCGCATGGCAGCAGAGCAAGACTCTGTCTCAAAAAAACAAAAAAAACAACCCCCCCCTCCACCACACACATACAAAAAAACAATGTTATTTGATAGCTGTTGTCAATGTTTCTTGAGTTGGGTGGTGGATTCACAGGTTGTATTTAATTAAACAAATACAAACAAGAGGGCCTTGTTTACCAATCATGAGAGTAAGTCATGAACTAAAGACTATGATTCATTTTTCAATTCTATGGACCTGAGTTTCACGCAGGACCACAAAGGTAAATAATGCCACCAAGTTGAAAGCTTCCCTATTTCAACAATTTCATTTTTTTCTTTTAAGACAGGGTCACACTCTGTCACCCAGGCTAGCAGGCTGGAGTGCAGTGGCAGGATCTCAGCTCACTGCAGCCTTGACCTTCCAGGTTCAGGCGATCCTCCAACCTCAGCCTCTCGAGTTGCTGGGACTACAGGTATTTCATCACCATGCCTGGCTAATTTTTATATTTTTTGTTAAGACAAAGTTTTACCCTGTTACCCAGGCTGGTCCTGAGCTCATGTGATCCTAGGGCCTAGGCCTTGCAAAGTGAGGCACGTTTTTTTTTTTTAAGTTGTTTTTATAGCATGATCTTAACAAAGCTTAAGAAAACAAGTTTTCTTGGATGGTTAAGGTGGCTCATGCCTGTAATCCCTGTACTTTGGGAGGCCGGGGGCAGGCAGATCACCTGAGGTCAGGAATTCAAGACCAGCCTGGCCAACATGGCAAAACCCCCATGCTATTAAAAATACAAAAATTAGCTGACCATAGTGGCACATGCCTGTAATCTCAGCTACTCGGGAGGCTGAGGCAGGAGAATCATTTGAACCCAGGAGGCATAGGCTGCAGTGAGCAGAGATAGTACCACTTTACTCAAGTCTGGGTGACAGTGAGACTGTTTCAAAAACACAAAAAACAAAACCCACACAAGTTTCTCTCCAACAAAAAGCTCTCGGCCAGGCACGATGGCTCACACCTGTAACCCCAGCACTTTGGGAGGTTGAGGTGGGTGGATCGCTTGAAGTCAGGAGTTTGAGACCAGCCTGGCCAACATGGTGAAACCCCATCTCTACAAAAAATTAGCCAGGTGGTGGCACACACCTGTAATCCCAGCTACTCAAGAGGCAGAGGCAGGAGAATCACTTCAACCCAGGAGGTGAAGGTTACAGTGACCTGAGATTATGCCAACGCACTCTAGCCTGGGCAACAGAGCAAGACTCAATCTCAAAAAAAAAGAGTTCTCAAATGTGAATGCTATTACAATTTTAACCTTTTAAATAGTGAATTTTAATCTTCTGTGTTGCCAAATTAAAAGATTTATTACCTCTCAACCACCTGCTTGTGAACCTCTTTCCACTGTTCCTTATCTGTATCAGTCCCTAACTCTGGGTGCAGAGTCTTCAGGGAGACACCAGCAACATTCACTCCACTCCATACAGGCACTAAAAGAAATAGTACAGACTACAATTATTTCCATGCACCAACAGATTAGTAACTGTGATTCATTTTTCTAATTCTCTTATCTTTGGAGGAGGAATACCCAATTTTGATAGATGGTCAAGACTACTAATGTAGTCGCTACTCACTTTTACATTAGATTTTCATTTATTTACATTATATAAAACTAAGAATTTTCCCTGTATTCTAACCTGTTTCTCTAACCAATTAAAATGTTTAACCCATATATATTTGAAATATAAAGACAGTATGAGAACCTAAGGGGAATTTTCTTAGCATACAGAACTCTAACCAAATCATAACATTTCAACTGTGATAATAATATAATATTTTGTACACTCCATTTGGATTTGCTGACCTTTTCAGGGCCAGACAGTACAAGTCAAGTATAAACATCGATACTAAATGACTAAAGTCATCCTAAAAACTATAGTCTTAAGATATCCATGTTAAGAAGAGAAATTTCATTCCCCATCCCCCTCGCCATAAAATATCATACAAAATGGCAGCAGTCTTACCAATTCTTAACACGTAATTATACAACATGGTAGATTTCGGGAAACCATTCTACCCTACTGAATGGATATTTGATTAGGCTCTAATTTAATAATAAAACGCTCATCGACTTTTTTACATGATCTTTTTGAAAACAAAAGGAAAATAATTTATGCTTACCACTGGAATCTCCATGTTCCCCAAGGACCCACCCATGACAGCTTAATGGGTGAACTCCCAGCCTTTCCCCCATCAGGTAACGGAATCTGGCTGAATCCAGATTGCAACCACTTCCAATAACACGGTTTTTGGGAAAGCCACTTATCTTCCAAGCCACATAGGTCAAGATATCCACTAAAAAGAAGAGAAAATAAAAATCACCCATTATCCTCTCCCCTCACACACAAAAGATATCCCTACTATGAAGAAAACACTTAAGCAGATACTAGGTACATCATTAGATGATAGTCTACTCCAGATATATGGCTATGTATGGATTTTGATACTGAACATGGCTAACCAATAATTTTGTTAATATTTTTAAGTCTCTATACTATGTATACCAAGTCCATTAAGTATTCAAAAAGTATAGTTTTGGCTGGGCATGACAGCTCACACCTGTAATCCCAATACTTTGGGATGCTCAGATGGGAGAACTGCTCAAGGCCAGCAGTTCAAGACCAGCCTGGGCAACATAGCAAGACTCCATCTCCACACACAAAAAAAACTTTAAACTAGCCAGGCATATTGGTGCATGCCTGCAGTCCTAGCTACTAAGAGGCTGAGGAAGGAGGATCATTTGAGCAGATCAAAGCTGCCATGATCATCCCATTGCCCTCCAGCTTGGGTGACAAAGTGAGAACTCATCTCAAAAAAAGTTTAACAGTTTTATGAAAACTGTGCATCAACAAAAGAGATAACAATTATGGGGCTGGGCACAATGGCTCACACCTGTAATCCTAACACTTTGGGAGGCCAAGGTGGGCAGATCACCTGAGGTTAAGAGCTTGGGACCAGTTTAGCCTGACCAACATGGAGAAACCCCATCTCTACTAAAAATACAAAATTAGCCGGACATGGTGGCGCATGTCTGTAATTCCAGCTACTCAGGAGGCTGAGGGAGAACAGCTTGAACCTGGGAGGTGGAGGCTGTGGTGAGCCAAGATGGCACTATTGCACTCCAGCCTGGGGAACAATAGTGAAACTCTCTCTCAAAATAATTAAAAAAGGCCAGGCGCGGTGGCTCAAACCTGTAATCCCAGCACTTTGGGAGGCCGAGGCAGGTGGATCACGAGGTCAAGAGATCAAGACCATCCTGGTCAACATGGTGAAACCCCGTCTCTACTAAAAATATAAAAAATTAGCTGGGCATGGTGGCATGTGCCTATAATCCCAGCTACTCAGGAGCTGAGGCAGGAGAATTGCCTGAACCCAGGAGGCAGAGGTTGCAGTGAGCCGAGATCGCGCCATTGCACTCCAGCCTGGGTAACAAGAGCAAAAGTCCGTCTCAAAAAAGAAAAGAAGAAAAAAAATAATAATAATAATTAAAAAATAAAAATACAAAAATCAGCCAGGTGTGGTGACACATGCCTATAATCCCAGCTACTGGGAAGGCTGAGGCAGGAGAATTGCTTGAACCTGGGAGACAGAGGCTGTAGTGAGCCAAGATCGAACCACTATACTTCAGCCTGGGCTACAAAGTGAGACTGTCTCAAAAAAAAAAAAAGAAAGAAAGAAAATAACAATTATTCACAAACTTATCCCTTATCCAAGATCTTAAGCAGGTAATTTTAAGCTCCAGCTATGTTTAAAGGCATTGTACTCCCTTTAATGTTTTAAAATTCACTATTAAGAAAAAAGGAACAAATTTCCTTAGAAGGGAAATGAAGCATGAGAAATGAATCAATAAACATGCATATACAAAATATATGGTGAGGTGCGGTGGCTCACACTTGCAATCCCAGTACTTCCTTGGGAGGCAGAGGAAGATGGATCACCTGAGGTCAGGAGTTCAAGACTAGCCTGGCCAACATGGCAAAATCCCATCTCTACTAAAAATACGAATATTGGCCGGGTGCAGTGGCTCACACCTACAATGTCAGCACCTTGGGAGGCCAAGGCAGGCAGATCACAAGATCAGGAGTTCGAGACCAACCTGGCCAACGTAGTGAAATCCCATCTTTACCTAAATATAAAAAAAAATTAGCTGGGCTTGGTGGTACACGCCTGTAATGCCAGCTACTCAGGAGGCTGAGGCAGGAAAATCGCTTGAACCCGGGAGGCAGAGGGTGCAGTGAGCCAGGATCACACCACTATACTCCAGCCTGGGCAACAGAGTGAGACTCCATCTCAAAAATAAATAAATAAATAAATATACATACATATCAGTTGTACTATAGCTTGTCAATATCTATACAGTTAAAAGCCTCACCTGGATTTGAAACAATAAGCAACTTGCAGTTCGGGCTGTATTTTACAACATTAGGAATGATGAATTTAAAGATGTTCACGTTACGCTGGACCAAATTAAGACGGCTTTCTCCCTCTTGCTGACGTGCCCCAGCCGTAACAATGACCAGCTTGGAGTTTGCAGTTACATTATAATCTAGAGAAAGGGGAAATAATGACCAGATTAAAGCCTTTAGAATAACTTTTACCGAGTCGCAAAAATTTGTTCCATAAATGCCCCAGAGACCTTTCCTTATTGTTTTATTTAGAGTATTATCATTATGGCTTCTTAAATGGAGGAAGAGCATGCCAACACCCTCCGTGTATTCTAGCTTTAGTCAAGTTGTAACTTTATATAACAATTAGGGGGAGCTGGAGGGAATCAAGTTTATTATTTGATTCTTATATTCACTTCTTACATATCCTCAAATTTTTTGTTACCCAAGCTCAACGTTCACACTTTTCCATACTCCTGTTTCTAATTAACTACTTAACTGGTGTTCAGAACATGCAATTTGTGTGTGTGTGCGTGCGCGCTTGTGTGGTGTGGGAGTTGTTTTTAAGCAGAGACAGCTTTACACTTAACAAGCATATTTTGCTTCTAGATACCCTATAGCACAAATTAAGCCAGGGATGAAGATGAAGGGAGCTGCCCAACAGGAAGGTGGCCAGTGATTTTTTCAGGCATCAAAACAAGATATTATTTTCAGGTATCAAAACAGACCACATTCAGGTTTCTTGGCTGGTGCTGTTAAGTGTGAAAGGGTCAAGCCAAGAGTATCAGCTGAACTGGCTCATTTACCCTATTATCAACTTTGTGCTGCGAATGTGAAAGGATGTGGGGGCAAGTAAGTATATCTAATAAAAGTATTTAACACAATGTGGTTAAATACAGATCTAAGGTTTAAGCTCTGCTCATTACATTCTCATTCAGATGGTTTCCACAGCATGGACAAATCGGATTTCTATTTTAAACCATTTACTAGAAATTGAAACTTTGATATTCATAGGTACTGAAGTTAAATTATTCCCAGGCTCTGAAAATCACTGGCCACCTTCCTGTTGGGCAGCTCCCTTCATCTTCATCCCTGGCTTAATTTGTGCTATAAGGTATAAGCAAAATATGCTTGCTAAATGAAAAATAAAATCTTCAAAGAGCTAGGATTTTAAGCCTGATAAAGCATTTAAATCTAAGTCTGGGCACAGTGGTTCCAGCACTCTGGAAGGCTAAGGAGGAAGGATCACTTGAGCCCAGGGGTTCAAGAAAGGCCTGGGCAACACAGTGAGACCCCATCTCTACAAAAAGTAAAAAAAAAAAAAAAAAAAAAAAAGGCAGGGCATGGTGGCATGCCCTATAGTCCCAGTTTGTGAGTGGGCAGGGGGTAATGAGGTAGGAGGAGGATTGCTTGGGCCTGGGAGGTCAAGGCTTCCGTAAGTCGTGATTATGCAGCTGCACTCTAGCCTAAGCAACAAAGGGAGATCATCTGAAAAAAAGAATTTAAGTGTAGCATGGATTAGAAAATAAACTTGTTGAAATCAACCTTTGCCAGAGACAATCTTTGGTGTTCTAAGGAAAAGGCTGCCATGTTGAAGATCCATCATCTCTCCCTTCAATTTGTCTTCAATGACATCAACAAGAGCAAGTTCATCTGCCAAGTCCTAAAAGATATCAAATCTTTAGTTAAATGGGAAATTGCTACTCCTGGATTTTTAGAAGAGCATGAAAAATTTCTGTATTTCAGCATAGGAGAGTTCTGCTACTTTATTAGTACAGTATTGAGATACACTTCAAAGTAGGGACAGGACTTCATTTCAAAAGCTGACTTACAGATTGCCCGATAGGTAGTAAGCACTGACCCTCTCTCACCATTGAAGCAAGCTTTACAGGAGTTCCACCACTGCAGATGTGAAAGCAGAACACTGGGTTAACAGGTGCTAGAATAACTTCCAATTGGCCGGGTGCAATGGTTCATGCCTGTAATCCCAGCACTTTAGGAGGCCGAGGCAGGCGGATCCCAAGGTCAGTCAAGACCATCCTGGCCAACATGGTGAAAACCTGTCTCTACTAAAATACAAAAAAATTAGCTGGGCATAGTGGTGCGTGCCTGTAGTCTCAGCTACTTAGGAGGCTGAGGCAGGGGAATCGCTTGAACCCAGCTGGCAGAGGATGCTATGAGCCGAGATCATGCCACTGCACTAAGAACCTGGGTGACAGAGCAAGACTCCATCTCAACAACAACAACTTCCAATTGTATAAAACTGCTCTATCTATTCTCTCAAATTCCATCCTGCACACCAATTTTAGATTGTTACTCATTTAACTAGGTGATATTGACCATTATCAAGACTTAAAATTAATAAGAAATTTTCTGGCTGGGAACAGTGTGACTCACACCTGTAATCCCAGTGCTTTGAGAGGCTGAGGCGGGCGGATCACTTGAGGTCAGGAGTTCGAGACAAGCCTGGCCAGTATGGTGAAAACTTGTCTCTACTAAAAATACAAAAAATTAGCTAGGAATGGTGGTGTGTGCCTATAATCCCAGCTACTCAGGAGGCTGAGGCAGGAGAATAGCTTGAACCTGGGGGGAGGCAGAGGTTGCAGTGAGCCAAGATGGCGCCACTGCACTCCAGCCTGGGTGACAGAGTGAGGCTGTCTCCAAAAAAAAGAAAAAAAAATACAAAAATTAGAAGGGCATAGTAGCAGTCGCCTGTAGTCCCAACTACTCGGGAAGCTGAGGCAGGAGAATTGCTTGAACCTGGAGGTCAAGTGAGCCAAGATTCCGCCACTGCACTCCAGCCTGGGCAAGAAAGCGAAATTCCGTCTCAAAATAAATAAATAAAAAGTCTGATTTTTGCCTATCTTTCAGACCTGGAATCTGAACCATTCCCTGGTTGATTCCATATATGAACCTATACTAACAGTTACAGATAAACAGGTTTGTGCAGTGTATAATATTGGCAAAAAATATCCTTATACTTGCAACTGTGAAAGTTGACAGGCGTATTTCAGGCCAGAAGCACCAATAATGGCTTTAATACAAATGGATGTGGTCTATTGTCACCAAAAAGGTTATTCAAGCTGCTGATCTAACCCCAAATCATCTACAATTTAACGAGTGGCAGTTCCTTTTCTTACCCACACCTGAACCAGAGGCTATCACAGAGAAAAACCATAGGCAGTTTGTAGGTGTGGGGAAAACAGTATCAATTTCTCATCTAGTGGGTAAGGAATAAAAGTTGGTGTATTACGTACACCAACCTAAAAACATATGGAGAGTCCTGTGTTGCTATAAGGCCTTTTCATAGCTCATTTCTGCTTTAGTCCCTTCTCACTTCAATCCATCTCTATTCAGAACCCACAATTCATCATTTTACTTTTATTAGAAACTCCACATCTAAACTTCAGATATTTTAATGGTGTAAGCTGCCTCAATTTCTTTTAAATAAAAACCAGGTTTCAATAGTGTAAAGTGCTTTATTCACAATTTCTAATTAAATTTTAGTTCCACAATTGATAACAAAATTGCTATCCAAGGCACAGGAGCAATGGAGCTTGAGTGGGAGAACTTAAGATTTCCCCCACTCACTATTTTAATTTTACCATATGTATGTGTCATTTTCAATTCAAAAATTACTTTAAAAGAATCCTGGCTCATTTAAAGGAATGGCCCTTCTTTTTCATTGGTAGTCAATTCATGCATGTTAATATGGAATAATGAATTGTAGGAACTGGGTCTCCAGCTTGATAAATTTTGATTCTTTTTCATTTCAGATACACTTTTGGTGTATCATCATATTTCAAAAGTTTGTTTCACAGAAAGTTATCTCAATGAGTGCATAAACCTAAATATTGTTGTATGCAATGTAATAATAACATTCTTGGGGTGGGAGTGGGAGTGGAGGATGTGGTCAAGGTATGCACTTCCAGTGTAGTGGACTCTCACTTACCTTCATTAAGATACTGATGGCACAGGCCATACCAACAGCACCAACCCCAACAACTGTAATCTTATTCTGGGGGGTCTGTTCTTCCTTTAGAAGATTATGAATCAGCTGATCCTTGAGAGTTGCCATTTTGGACTTGGAACCAAAAGGAACCTACAGGGGGAAAAACATTTAGTCACTACATCGTCTTTAATGTTTATTAACCAAGAGATGTATTGAAAAGGGGCTTATTTTACTTCTTTTTGGGGTACCTACCACTAAAAATCACGAGATGACTAAAAAGAGAGGGGGGGGAAAACCTAATGGTTGCCAAGAGAGTTGAAAGGCCTAATGCCAAGGTCTGTGAAGAGTGAAGGCTCTCACCTTGGCGTGGAAAAGGAATATCGACGTTTGGGTGTAAGTATAGCCTCCTGAGGGCTCACCCATCGCGGTGTATTAACCCGAAGTGGGGCTGGCCTTTCCTCACACAAGATCACTCTGAGCCACCCGCCCAGTTCTCCTTCAGCCACTCCGGCTCCCACAGCAAGGACATAGCCAGGCCTCTCAAGTAAAAACCAGAGGTATGTGGAGAAAAGCCATTAACCGCCACAATGTTCGAGCCCAAGGCACGGCGTGCGGTGATCCTTGCGCATGCGCGCTGTCGCTCTCCTTCCCGCTCCGAAAGGTGGGCGGAAATCAGATTAACAGCTCGGTCCCCAGAAGGCCCGGGTTTCACGCCCCGCCCAAATCCGGAAGATTGGCGGGCTCAGGAAACTTGTGCGCGTGCGCATTACAGAACGCAGAGGCGGAGACGATTAGTCTAGCGGCCGCAAGCCGTAGGCCGTAGGTTAGTGGGCTTCGGGCCAGACTGCTGAAGCCTGAGAAGCCCCGCCCATAAGGAGAGGCAATCGGGAGCTATCCAGCTCGGCGGGTGAGAGGGAGGGAGCTGGGTTTCAGACTTTAGACCTGATGAATGCCCGGAAGCAGACGCAAGCAACGTGAAGCCTAGCTGGCAGCCTCCCAGGCCTGGCGCGCGGCCAGCGCCAGACTTTAAATCGCAGTACTGGAAACCAGGGACTGTTAACCAACCGGGAGGGAGGCGCACGGTGTGGCTTCTGCCGTGATCTTAGTTGCAAAGGCCTGTCAGGCCCGGTATGAAGAAATCGTTTCAGTACAGGGAGTGTAGAAATAGCTGCAGAGGGCCTGAGGCCTGCGGCCCTAGAGTTAATAGCTACTTGGTGGAACTCACGAATTCTTTCCACTCTGTTAATCCAACCCTACGCTGCATTCACTGGAGGAAATATCACAGGCTGCATCCCCAAAGCATCACGTCTTGTTTCGACACTATCCCAAAGGGCAAATATCCGAGAGGACCTCTAGGCAGCCAGCCCAGAGTCACCAAGCTGGTGTCGGGTCTCTCCTTACAAATCACTGCTATTTCTGGGCAGCCTTGTAACGTTTCTAGCCTGGTAGGGGGAAGGGAGTTCCTGCGGACACCTGCTAGCTTCAGTGAGCGGACCCAGGATCCAAAGCTACCTTCAACGTGGGGGTGGGGCTAGGGTGACGGAGGGTGAGTCTGGCGGCGACAGACATGCAAAACGAGTTCTACTCCTCACCTCTGCCACCTACTCACCGAGACCTTAGAGATGCCCTGAACGTCTCCCCGTTTGTTAAAAGGAGGAGTTGGTAGCGGCGGATCCTACTCAACTGACCGTCTGAGGTGCGGGAGGGCTGGGATTCTGCCTGCTTCATCTTTGCGTGCGCCGCGCTTAGCGCAGCCGGAGATACACCAGCAGCTGCTTAATAAATGCGCAAAGAGCTCCCTATAATCTGCAGACAGCAGCCACCCTCACGGAGCCCACCTCTCGAGAGTCCCAAGAGAAAAATGCAAACCGCGTGGTACTCAGCCCCTTTCCGGATTCCAGGAACCCGCCCGGACAAGCCGAGGCTTTTTTTGCTCAATGGGCTCCGGAAACCGGACCTCGAGTTTTATAGCGCTCGCCGAATTTCGAGCCCAGAGGTATCCCCCACCCTTAAGGCCTATCATCTCCTTATTTTTCCGCATCCACCCGGGCTTTCGACCCTGTTTGTGTGAGGCCACTTTCTTGGTTCCCCAGCGCGGCCAGAAGCCATGGTTCCCGCTTACAGCAAAAGCAGAGCACGACGAGCTCCTAACACAAGCGTGGTGTGGGCCACCGCCCAGAGGTCTCGGGGCTCTGCTTCTGGGAAGCGGCTCCTACACTTCCCGGGGTTCAGAACCCTTTCGCTAGCAGCCCGGGCCAGCAGAGCCCGAGGCATTTCGCTCTCCCTCCTCCTCCCCTGCGCAGAGTGCGCTGGGCCCAGCAGTACCAGGAATGCACGTCGGGCGGGCTTCGGGGGCGCTCAGCAGTGGGATCCGGACTCGGCGGCAGCTGCTCCAGCACTTGGAGCTGGGCGCGGGAGGGGCCTTAAGTAGACCAACTAGGCTGACGTCAGCGGGGGGGGCCGGCGGACGTGCGGGAACCCACGTGTGGGTCGGGCTGGGGGTGGACGCCGAGCCAGGCGGGGCACTGGAGAGGCCCGGGCGGCGCGCGCAGCCTAACAACCGACCCGCTGACTGCCCCCACGTGCGCTGGGACAACTAAGTAAGGTGCTGCCCTCCAGCCACAGAAGCCCGGGTTGGAGCCGTGAGCCTGAGTCAGGACGATCTTCAGTTTCCTCTTCCATAAAACCTAGGGAGGTTACTCTCAGGAAGGCTTGGATCTGTTTCTTCTTCATCCCTGTTTCCCAGTGTCCAGAAAAGTTTCTGGCACATAATAAGCACTCCACACATATTTGTTGAACGAACGAAAGAAAATGCCTAGCACAGTCAGTCTGCTCTTACTTAAGCCGAGTGATCTCCAAAACTTGACGTTGCTTTTCCGTGTGCTGCTAAGCCTACCAGCTCCCACTCACAGTGAAGCCTTGGCCTCTCAGGCCTTGCAGGGTGACTCAGTTAAAGTTTACATCTTAGTCTGCACCTCCTACTGCCCACCCCACTGGCATCTCAAGTCTCAGCCGTACCCAAGTACTGTCGGTGGTTATTTGTTCGCGCGCGCGCGCATGTGTCTGTGTGTCTGTGTGTGTTTTGGTATTTTTTGAGACAAGGTCTCACTCTGTCACCCAAGCTGGAGTGCAATGGCGTGATCCTGGCTCACTGCAACCTGGACCTCCCCGGCTCAAGAGATCCTCCCACGTCGGCCTCCCGAAGTGACTGGAGCTATAAGTGCACCCACTCGCCTTGTGATTTAAAAAAGAATTTTTTTTTTTTTTTTTTGGCCGGGCGCAGTGGCTCAAGCGTCTAATCCCAGCACTTTGGGAGGCCGAGGCGGGTGGATCACGAGGCCAAGAGATCGAGACAATCCAGGTCAACATGGTGAAACCCCGTCTCTACTAAAAATACAAAAAATTAGCTGGGCACGGTGGCGCGTGCCTGTAATCCCAGCTGCTCAGGAGGCTGAGGCAGGAGAATTGCCTGAACCCAGGAGGGGGAGGTTGCGGTGAGCCGAGATCGCGCCATTGCACTCCAGCCTGGGTAACAAGAGCGAAACTCCGTCTCAAAAAAAAAAAAAATATTTTTTTTTCTTTTGAGAGAGTTTCTCTGTCACCCACGCTGGAGTGCAGTGGGGTGATCTCGGCTCACTGCAACCTCTGCCTCCTGGGTTCGAGCCATTCTCCTGCCCTAGTCTCCTGAGTAGCTGGAATTATAGCCCCAGGCCATCATGTCCGGCTTTTTATATTTTTAGTAGAGACGGGGTTTCACCATGTTGGTCAGGCTGGTCTCAAACTCCTGGCCTCAAGTAATCCACCCGCCTCTGCCTCCCAAAGTGCAGGGATTACAGGCACCGTGCCCATCTCAATTTTTGTTTTCTTAGCATACTTACCTCTGGGGCTGTATTCATACTAATTCCATTGTCTGGCCCACCGTCCTCCAATTTGTAGCAGTAGTTTCCCACTGTGGGATATATTATGAAATATATTTGGTAAGCCCTTGAGTTTGCCAACGTTTCCTGAGTTTTCTGATGGGAGTGTTTTTTGTTATTTATAAAGAGCCTCTTTCTCTGATAGTCTCAGAAAGGATCCAGTTACCGGAAAGACCAAGTGAATAGGGAATTAGAGGGATGAAACTTTCAGCCCAACTCACTAACCTCCAGAAATGGGGTGGAGACTGTCAATTAAGCTCTGTGAAAACTCTTGAAAAAAAACTGATGAGCTTCCAAGGTGCTTAACTTTGGAAGTGCTCAGAAGACGATGTGCCTAGAGGGGGCATATCTTAATCTTTGCATCTCCGCATCTGTATCTTTAAATCGGTGTCTGAAGGGGGAAGCAGCCCTGTGGGGCAGAGCTCTTAACCTATGAGATCTGACACTATCTGTAGGTGGACAGTATCAGAATGGAATTGAATTCTAGGACACCCAGTTGGTGTTTCCTGGAGAACTGCTTGGTGTGGGGGAGTGGAGGGGAGTGGGCAGAAACCCCCCACACATCTGGTCACAGAACAACCAAAACACAGAAGTGGTACTGCCTTGCTCTCTGCTCCCAACAGACTGGACGGTACATTTTTCAAACCAGCTGGCAAGAGTGGTATGTGTGGCTATGTTCACCTACCAGACTGAGCCCCTCAAGGGCGTGGATGGGTCTACTTACTCCCTGAACCTATGGCACCAGCCAGTGCAGCTCTGATATAGGTCCATAACTGAGTTTCTTGGTTTTGACAGAAAACTCTAACCTCAGCTCCAAAATAGACAAGGACCAGGGTGCAGTGACTCATGCTTTCCTAGCACTTTGGGAGGCTGAGGTGGGAAAACTGCTTGAGGCCAGGAGTTGGAGACTAGCCTGGGCAGCATAGCAAGGCCCTGTCCAAAAAAAAAAAAAAAAAAATAGTAGGGCATGCTCACATGTTCTAACAGTTTTCCCATCACTCTAGATTCTAAGATCGCTTTAGGCTCTGAAATGGGGCTCTCACCTCAAACACACAGCTGGAAAGTTTAGGGGTGGGCCTTGATTCTACAGGGTACCTCAGGGCAAGCAGATTGCAACAGTGTTTTCCCGTTCCTTGGTCTTTGCAACAATGTTCTCAGGCAGGGCTGGGCCCCTGCCTGCCTTCTAAATGTGACCACAGCTGCTGGGAAGTGGTAGATGTGTAGACAGAGAGCTGAAGTTGGCTGGGGAGACAAAGAATTTTCACCTGAAATGCTTGGAATTGGGCCCTCTGGGATGACCTGCGAAGACAAACTAGGTAGAATCTTCATTCCCCTAAATTTATGATACCTAGCAACAGCTTGCTTCACGCACAGCTTTGGGCTTCCTAGGCAAAACAACAGCCAGTATTTGACTCCTCAAATATGAATAAAACAAATACCATTTACTGAGCACCTGCTATGCTGCAGACAGCAAGTTAGGTAATCCCCATGCTCATCCTTTGGAATAGGCATAATTATCCCCATTTTTCAGATATGGAAACCAAGGCTCAGAGAGGTGAGTGACTTTGCCAAGCTTGTGCAGCTAATAAGTGATTTTCACTTGGACTTTAACCCAGTGCTGACTAACCCCAAAGCCTGCGATTTCCTCTCTATAGGATGTTGTCCCACCCCACTCCCTACAAAGAGCAAGAAATTATCTAGGGGGCCCAAACCAGTCTCAGGCTCAGAAGAGGCTGTGCGTGGCAATAGGTGTCTCTGCTGAGACATTGGTATTGTGCCTTTGGACAGGGACTTAGACCATT